GCAGGCAAGGCACTCGATTAAATGACCCTCCTAGATACGGCAGCATATTTAAGGTATAAAGTGTCTTATTCCCTCCTCCAGTTATTTAAATGTTCTATAGAGATTGATATGCTAGAATGACATCGATTTCAAATAAAATAGAGTATGCATCATTCGTTTCAGGGACGTCCTCATATCAGAGCCATGGGAAGATAAAAAACAACTACTGATAAGTCTACAAATAGAGATTCCAATGAAGATTTTTTTAGTGCAGAAATATTAAAACCTCCCCTCAGTTTTTCTTACTTTTCTGTACTCTATAATAACTACTCTATAAACTAGGAGTACAGGCATCCGGTCACCATTCTAGAGGATTTAGATACGATTTAAGTTCATCTTATATAGATAATACACCTCTTTCAGTTAGATTTATGTGAAGCAACTCATGGGACACATTTTAAATTAACTTAAGCACCAACATTAGTCTTGGCAATATTTTTTTTCCAATTCATACAAAGACCTATATGTATTAGGGATGAAAATAGGACAGATATTTCTCGACATCTGAAAATACTAATGGAATAATTTATGTTTCCTGCTGCCTATATTTTATAGCTTGGGCTAGGTTTCGGTGCTGTTGGTATCCATCTAAAATATGTCACATTACAGTTGGTAATATTTTTGGCTTAAAGCATCTGCAGATAAGTAGGAATTGTTGCTTAGAATTACTCAATGACAAATATATGTACCTTAAGCTTAGATTCCTTGTTATTTCAGGCCAAACAATTTTTTACATTTATAGGATCCAGACAAGAAAGCAATCTTCACTAACTGATGTTGAAATTCCAAGAGCTGTTTGCTTCTAGCTCAGCCATCCATTTTGTAATTCTCTTGGTTGTCCAACTTCTTTTGCAACAGAATTGCTCTCCATTCCTCCATGTTGTGTCACCTCACCATCCTAGCCTCTTTGAACTTGCTAACATCTTCTCCAGCTCGCCCATTGCAAGATCAAATGATTCGATGTCCCTGGCATGACAAAGAATTATGCAAACTAAGGAATGACCATGTATGTGTTGCTTAGATATATTCTATGTTTCTCTATTTATATATGTAGTTAATTTTATTATCCACTGCTATTAGTTCCCAAGTTTTCGTCACATTATCATCAGCGAGGGCTCTCTGTTCTAATTTACTCCCTCTGTGCAAATAAGGAGGCCACCAGATATGTTTTACTTTCCGAAGTATGTCAATTATTGTTCTTTAATTGAAACCAATGTGAGAGCAGGAGCAATATTGCACATTTGGAATGCATTATGTGCCTATTTGAGCCATGCGTGATATACTTATTTGTTTTTTCCATGTACTTTAGTTAGACATTGATTTAATGCCTCTAAGAGAAGTTATTGATTTTATAATGCAGGTTCCTCAAGAGATCCAATCGGAGGCCAAGTATCTAAATTATTTCATATCTTAGCTAGCAAGTAATTAATTTTACTAATATTTTGGGCCAAATCAAGCTCAATGCCTCATTGATTAAAATTATGCACTTGTAGTCAGTTATCAACACACACACACACACACACACACACACACACACACACACATATATATATATATATGAAGGTTCCAGTCACCCTGTTGTAATACAAATGTACAAATACGTTGTATGTCATGTATGTTCCATTTCTAACAAGCTTCTAAGTTCTATGACCTTGCATGCACGTTTTAGTTGGAATTTAATAAAATTTGGATTATGATCATTCCCTTCTGGTGCAAGATTCCTATTAAAGAGATTATCTGATAAATATGCAACCTCAGACTGGTCTCTAATAATAATAACTGTAAAGTAATTGAGCCTTTGCATTTTGGCTGCACTATTTCTGAAAATAATGGTTACAAGCATCTTATTGGTTCTTCCTTAATTGATTTATGCAAATTGTTTGAACATGCTACCATTGAAACATTCTTTGTTCATTCATTGAAATCATATCATCATATGTGAATGCATTCTTGCATTTTCAGCTTGGTTTTTTTTTGTACCACATTTTCTTGGTGCTCTTCACTCCAATTATGATAAGTGAGGCTCGATCTTTTTAGCGAACTTAGTCTTTATTAACCATTTCAGTTGGTTATGCACCAAACTGCAGATGTTGCACGCCCATTCTCCATGGGCCTTGGTAACATTGTAACACCTGGTTGGTAACAATGGTTTCTTCATATGCTGCTAAGGAAACAATCTTTTACTTCCAATCGGTTATTGAAACCAAGCATGCATACTCATCTATCAAGCATGCTCACCCACAGAAAAAAAAAATTCAAAGTACACCATTGTAATTACACAAAGGATCAATAATTCAGGGTCACCCCGCTACAAAGAAAGCAAAACTGGCAGCACAGAGCACCCACTGCTAAGTGATTTACCCTTTTCTTTTAATTTCCTAATTGCACTTCACATTGATGGTGCCTTGAAAAAAATTCTGATCTCTTTGCTGCTGCTACCGACTTCTTGGTTATCGTCTCTCTGTCTTGCTACCTACCTGTCTCTGACTCTCTGTTGATGCATCTGTATGTGATTCTACGAATCAACTTGCACAAGTGGCCTCCATTCAATACACCACAAAATAAGTATCAGACGCATCAGCCCTATTTTTTTACGGTTGTCCTTGCTAGTGAGCAAGCAAGTGCACTTGCAATCTCGGAAACGGCGGTACAATACATTTACATAAGAAAACTCCATTTGTTCTTTTCTTATCAGTTATAGACACACCTTTTTCTTCTCAGTTATAGACAAACCTTGAATCAATGCTTCAGTTTTTCCTTACTCCAAAATTATATGTACCTTTTACATAAATCAAAATGCTTTACAGTCTATGCAACAAATTAAGCAATTACATTCTCAACTTTAGTGCCACGTAGTTACAGTTGTCAGTATCTTATCTCTTCTACAAATAGAACCATCTTATACACATTATTTACATCGATGTGTATACAATCATTTCTATCCAAGACATAGTGCAAGCTAATGGGCCCATCCCACACTGATGGTCTCGGTATAAACTCACTCACGTATGCGGGCTGGCCCAACACAGACAAGCGCGCGGCAACGCCGCGCATAGTTTCTAGTTCATTTGGGATTTCTAACCTTGCTTGACTTTGAGCCACTGTGAACTCAAAGAGCTTTTTACTTCGATATATATGTATCGGTGTCCAATCATTCTTGCTGCGGTACAACCAAATAACTGTGAGCCGTTTATTTATTTCGATCGGACAGTCACGATCAACTATTACCTCCTAGGAGGTATAATATGTGAAATATATATTTATTTAATTTTTTATTTTGGAAAGTATGATAAATCAAGAAAAGTTTTAGAGATAAGGATCGTTTTAGAGCATACATTAGATTTGGAAAGATTCACCCGGCACAACTATGCAACTTTTAGATATAGTATAATTTAATTAACATAAATTACATATTTTTTATTCAAGTAACTCGTACTACACACGTATGTGCTCAAAGAGACGTGAAATTGATGTGTGTATGTGCCCAACGTGCACGAAAATTTACGTGCATACATGAAACTTTACGTGGCCATCTTGCTCAATATACGTGACAGGTAAAGGCCCTCTCAACTATGAAATATAGTTTTATTCGAGTTAGCATAATATACACACTTGATTTGTAACGTGTCAACATACAACATGTTTTAGATCGCTAAAGTTCACGTCTCAATTAATGTGTTAACTATTGATATTTTGTTATATATGTAACGTAACTTTTAATAACTGAATAAACCGTGATAGCTGTTGTATACATGTTGATATTTTTTTATATATGTAATATACTTAAAGGAAGGCCGCGCGGCCGGCCGCCGCTTCTGTCTGTCCCGTGCATGAGGGGATTTTTCTTTTTCCTTTTCTTAGGTTAATTAATTGATTTAAAAAACCAAAAATCAATGGTTCAGATTTATTTGAGATATTACATCCTTAAAGGTAAAGGATGTACCTTAGCATTGCCCGTAATCTTACTGGTTGGAAGAAAAGTTTGTTGGTTGTTGAATAGGAGGTATGGTCATACACCTAGCCAACCATATTCAAGCTCTTTTCAACTCAAATCTGGATGTATATTTTCTTTAATTTATATCATTCAGTTCTTGTTAAGTTAGTCTCACACTCTCACTTTTTTTAGAAACTAGGGCATAGGCTAAGTTGGAGGTGAGGTGCACGTCTCGTGTCATGCGTGGTTGCCGTTTTGCCTGCCCCGGGCTGCCCCGGTTGCCATGCAGAATGCATTGGTGGTGTGGCGGCGTTTATGCATGCATTGTTAGGATCCATTGTTAGGATCATCGCATTTCACCTTCTTTTTTTTTTCATACTACTCTTGTGCATATACATACACTACGAGCTAGAGCCAGGGCCCAGGGATGGTGATGGGCGGCCATCTGTAAGGTCTAACCCACACCCGTGAGTCCTGAGACAAAAGCAGAGAGCAAGCTCAAAGGTCGCTTTAATTTTTCCACGCACAATTTAGGATCGACTTCGTCCTGCTCACATCCACCGTACGCGTTCCTGTTTCCGTCGGTATTTTTTCTCAACTTTTAGCATCAAAGAAGTGCATCATATATAATAAATAGTACAGTACAAGAACATATATATATTCTTCCCAGATTTACACTGAGGAGAGGGAGCTTCGTCCTCCTACTAAACTTTACCCCTACTCACTCTGTGACAAACTTTATAACATCTCCAAAAACACACAAAGAAAATAGTACTCGCCAACACATGAAGCAACGCAAAAACCAAAATACTGCCTAATATACATATATATACAGCCTGTTCGCTTATTAGATTCAGTCAGAACTTATCAGCCAGTCAATAATATTTTTTTCTCACAATAAATCAATACCAGCTAAACTTATCGACCATCAACCTGCGAACACGCCGATATAATAGCGTAATTTTACAGTGGACACGAGCAGCGCATGACACGGTCGATGTCGCGGAGCGGAGATGAGTTGATGACATCACATGACGCTGCACGCAGCGCTGGGCTCTTCCTCGTAGTACTGCTGCTGCGCGTACGGGTTCCGGCCGTAGCCGCCGTACGCCCCCGGCCAGTGCCCGGCGGGCCGGCCGGCGCCGTAGTACCCTCCGGCAGGCGGGCCGCTGTAGCTGCCGTACGGCTGCGTGCTGTAGCCCCACTCGGGGGCGGCTGGCCAGATGGACGGCACGCCCATGCCCTGCGCGTGCTGAACCTGCTGCTGTGGCATTGGCCCCATCGCCGGCATCGGCATCCTCACGGGCGCCGCCGCGGCCATCGACATCGCCGGGCCGGTGCGGGGCGCCTCCAGCCGCGCCGCGATGGGGGTGTTGGTCCTGATGATCTTCGGCTTGCCGCCGCCGTTCCCGTGCCCGCTGTGCGCGTGGCGCCCGGCCGGCTCGTCCATGTCGTCCAGGTCGAAGTCGTCGTCGTCCAGGTCCAGGTCCATGTCGTCGAACTTGACGTGCTTCTTCTCCGTCTTGCCGCCGCCGCCGCCGCCGCCACCGTGCCCGCCATGGCCTCCACCGCCGTGCCCGCCATGGCCTCCGCCGCCGCCGTGCCCGCCATGGCCATGTCCCTGGCCCTGGCCCTGGCCCTGGCCGTGCCCGTTGCCGTTGGCCTTCCCTGGCTTGGGAGCCTTGCCGGGGGTGGCGGCGGCGGCGTCGTGCTTCTGTTTCCCTCCGCCTCCGCCGCCGCCCAAGCCGAAGCCGACGAAGCCCCCGACGACGTGTATGTCGGTGATGACCTTGCCGGCGTCGGAGGTGAGCCTGTCGGCGACCTCCTCCGCGTCGAAGGGCCCGGACACCGTCACCGTGTTGTTCTTCTCGTCGTAGGAGATGGTCCTGATGCTCACTTTGTCTGTCGTTCAATCATGGGCACAGATGATGGATCAGCTCATGTTCATCCTAGCCTAGATTCAGCACCTCTTTCTTTTCTTGCAATTTAATTTGCAAAATCTTTTTTTTTCTTGGGGGAGAGTCGGAGTAGTGACTTGTGACTGAGAATCTGGGAGAAACAGGGGCAAACAAACCTTGGACCTTGCAGAGGACCTTCCTGATCTTCTTGTAGCACTTTTCGCACTCAAGATCCACTCTCATGACGACCGTCGACATCTGAATGCAAACTTTGGTTCTTCAGTTTCATACACAAATGTACATAGAAGAAGCTCGATTAAAGAAAGGCAAGTGAAGAATGTTTTTTTCCCCTGAGAAGCTGAGAAGCAGAGGAGGTAGCAGTAGTGATTATAGTAACATCCTAGCTAACTGCTTTGAGACAGAGTGCTTTGCAAGCTAACTAGATAGTGGTGTTAGATCCCTGAACCTGAATGATGTACAGTGCGGTGGTTGGTCCATTTTGCAGAAAGGAAAAGGAATCAACCGCGTTGCTTGTTGTCTACTTCACGCGCGGTACTCGAGTGTGTGTTGTGGGGCAGCGCAAAAGGCCATCATATGTATGTAACGCCAGCACCATGCTAGTACTAGTATCTTGGAACAAATTCGTAGCTTAGCCAGAGGTTTGGAGAGTTGGAATTTGGAAGCACAACTAACAAGCTGAAGAGATGATGAGAACAAAGGTATCACAAATTCCCCTCTGTTCAATTTCTGCAACATGAATATGCAGAGATGAGGTTTGCTTGGTAAAAGATGAACCGAGCTAGCTATTTATGTGGATGGATGGAAGAGTGCTATTACATTTTTCCCTGACAACTTAGATTTGGGGTTCAACAAAGGTGAAATCCGTTGTGTGAGGTGTGTAATTTAAATGGCGTTGTAGAACGAGAGGAAACAAGAGGATTAACCTTGGGATCCGATCAAATGAGAAAACAGATAGCATGAGACAGAGAGAGATGGAGACGGGAGGTTGCTTACCTTGTGCAGGCTGCTATGGACGCTTGAGCAAAGATAGGTCTCTGCCTGCCTGCCACCTTTGTTGCTGGTGCACGAGGAAGAGGAAGAAGAGATAAGGGAAAGAGAGCAGAGAGGGGAGGGAGGGAGGGTGGTGGGTACACTGGGGCAGTGTGGGTTGTTGTGTGCAACGTGCCTCAGCTCTCAGCTCGGCTCCCTCGCTTTTGTTGAGACACCACACCACACCACCAGCACCAGCACCAGCAGATGGTTGGCATGGCGCCGTGATGCTCTCGATTGCTCTTAGCGACTAAGCACCATGCTTTGGCAGGCAGACACTCTGGACCCGCCCGGCCTGGCCTCAAATCACCCTCCCTTTCCAACAGGCACAGCCATCGACAAGCTGTTCAATTCATCTGCTGCTGCTAATAGTTCACCGATATTATATGATAGTAATATATCAACCTTTTCCTTTCTTTTTTTGTTTTTGTTTTTGTACCAAGGTACCCCAGGATGTGTGAATGGGTTGAATGGCCGCGCCACTACCGCTAGCACCCGGGTATTAAGCATTGCAATGCAATGGAGCTAGCTTTGGCTGGTAAACTAATCCATCTCCCCTGGTCTCCTGGGCTCCTGCTGCCTAGTGTAGTGGGTACTGACGTATGGCACTTGGCTACACCTATCAAGGAAATCGTTGCATGCAAAGATAAATATGTACCCTCCATCCCAATTTGTAAGTCGTTCCGGCCCTGTTCACTTTTTCCAAATTGTAAGTCATCGTACCGCTCCCGTATTCATTCAGCTTCGGTCTATTCCAAAATTACCCTCGCCTCCGCTCGCTCAGTTGGCTCCTGCCTTTCGCCCGGTCGACTGCCTAGCTCCCTCCGCCCCAGATCTAGATCGAGCCTTCCAAAAATCGCCGGCGTCTTGCTCCGCCTTCCCCCAAAATCGCCGGCGTCTTTGGTCCCCTCTAATCTAGCGAGCGCTTCGATGTGCCTTCAAAACTGGAATCCACAAATGCCTCATGCGGTCGCAGCTTGGGAGCTGGATCTGGGGTGGCGCAAGAAGAATGGCAGAAGGCGGCGGCGCCGCCGCCCATCTAGATTTAGTGTACGTACCTCCTCCCCTCCAAATCTTCATTAGGAATCTTGTATTGTTTGATAAAAACTTCATCTTTTCATTGATTTGGTTGGTTAATATGCACTGCGTCGGACTTGTTCGGCGTCATCAAGTTGTTGCTCAAGGAGTTACCCTCGTCTGGGGAGGCTCTCCACGGCGTCGGCCCGGGCGGCGCGTGGTTCGGCGAGGTGGTGCCCGGCGCCATCAGCTTCCGCCTCGTCATCAACAGCGCCGCGGCATTCAACAAGTCCCTGTGGCACGCCATCGGCGATGTTCTCCACTGGTGCGCCGCCGCCGCCGCCCAGCAAGCGTCACTGCAACGCGCTGGCGGCGGCTGTGCCGGCGCTCGTCGTCTGCTCACGCTCGTTTTCCTCCTCGGCCACCACCGCCCCACTAGTGCGTGCGTCAGTCCGTGCCTCGGATCTGTCATCTCCCCTTCCTTTTGATGCTGATCCCCTAACCGTGCACGTTTCGTGCTCTTGCAGCAGACTATGGATCGGACGAGCGCGGTCTTCAGCACCGTAAGCTTCTCCAGTCTCCCCTGCAAACTTGTTTAACTGCATACTCCCCTCAGAAGTCCCATTATCTCAACAAAAAAAAGATTAGTACAGTCCCAGTTTCTGAACTGACGCCTTAGATGTGCTTGGGGTTGCTTTACTAGGAGCTGGTTGGCCTCGGGTATGGAGTATCTGAACAAATGCTTTGCAGTACGAGGGAGCCATCAAGACGGATGGCAGAGGACAGAGAATCTGGGACACGTTTGCGCACACTTTCGCTATGTATGCTGAATTTGTGCGTTTCGAATCAGATGGTGTTTTTCGCTGGCGTTTCGTTGGTGTGCCTTGATGCTGAATTATATGTTCTGTTCATATGGTATGGATGTGGATGCAGCTTCATTATATGATGATACTCTTCTTCGGAGAGCTTGCGCTGATGGACTACTGCATGACGACAATCTACTATTCTTTGATGGCTGCTGCTTCTGGTGTGTACGCTGCTCGCTGCACGTTGAGGTAGAGTCCTCTCTGGACACAAACTCTGAAGTACCAGATCGTCCCGACACGCCAGTGACGCTCAACTTCCTCACCTAGGTCACTGAGGTCACTTTCCATTTCAAAACTTGGTCACATTCAGTTTTCAGTACATCAGACGATTCAGACCTGAAGAAGTAGAGACATGTCTGAATGAATGTCTAAAACTCTGGTTGTTCTGTCTGTCAGCAAGAATATCTTGCGCTAATTAAGCAACTCCGCTCTGTCGTTAAAGTTTTGTGACTTCTAATTCAATCTAAGAATGCAGAACAACTGGCTTATGACTGTCATAAAATGATTCCTGCATTATCCATGCTCAAAGTGTCAAAGTAGGCAACAAAACGACATTAAAAATTAGAGGTGATCCTTGGTGCTTTCTATGGCTTATGACTGTCGATAGTCCTTGGTGCTTCATACTGGTCTGTGTGAAGTAGAATTTTGATACTCTATAGCAGTTTAGAGTTTCATCTTGATAGCAAAACAACTATTCTTAGCGTGCAGCCCCCATGTTATTATTTTATTCCTGTCAATGATGCTTAGTTTACCAATCTACGTACATTGTTGTTAGTTCAGTATGACACTGTAGCAGATTGTTTGAGAAGCTCATTTATGATATCCGCAAGAGAAGAAAAAGTAAGAAAAAAACACATGAATTAACTCTGAGCTGAGAAACTATTGATGACTGAAAACTGAGCTAAGAAACTATTGATGATTGAAAAATAATGGTGGAATGTTGCTTTCTTTTATGTGCAGGCTAAAAGATCAGTGAGAGAATGAGGCCACCTTAGAGTAACATTGCAGATAAGTATTGTCACTCATACATAGGTTCTGAATCAATATTTTGTTCCTCTCTATAAATTAAAAATAATCTCTGAAAATGTGCTAGCATAATCTTTACAAAATCTCTTATAGCAACGCACTAAGATACTCAACCGAATTGTGCTAGATGGGCTAGCGCAGTAGCATAGAGACCATTCTCGCATGACAACCGATGAGGTAGCCTCCCTTCTCTTTCTAGGCGTTGCTTATTCATGTGGGAGTTTGTACCTATTTCCTCCTCTAATTTTCATGACCTCTTTCATGCACAATTGTAGACTTAGGAATACTTGATTCAGAATTGCCTCATCATATTCGTCAAACTCTTCCTCCACATTATGAATTAGATTTTCAATAGTTTCTGGACTTGCACAATCAGTTAAGGACTGTATAGAGTTGAAGAAACCAAGATCCAAAATATTCATGTCTGGGGAGTTTGCTGGCTGTTGCATTAGTCTAATGTCTAGACCAGTAGCCGCCACAGTTTCAAGAAAAGCTAGGTCATTTGGACGAACATGGGTTCTACCATTGTCTTGTTGAATGAAAATAGTCTTGTCTGTGTCTTCTTGTGGCCACTTATCTTTGATGGCTGGGATAACCTTTTCAAACAAATATTGCCTCATCACCTCCTTGTTGACTATGATAGATTTAGTTTCAAAGGTCCCTCTTTCTCTATTCTGGCTCCTCCTTGCCGCAGGCGCCTCTTTCACAAATGGCCATACTCCGAGCTTTCTAGAAAATGTCAAATTTTCTTTCTCATCATATTTTGGCCTACCTACAACAGTCAGGAACATGACTTTACTAATGTTGTTCTTGTTCTGAATAGTGCGTTCAGGATCATCTTCTTCAAGCGTCAGGTAGTATTTTTCCCCTTTTTAGTCATAAAATACCATTTCTCATCAATATGCACTATATTCTGTATATCAATGAATTTAGGTTCTTCATGCCCTAGAGTTTCGTGATCCAACATTGAAATGCAGAACTACAGTCTATCCCTTTTGTTGCTCTCTCTCAAGTGTGGCTTCAATGTACTAGAGTAGCGTCTTATCTCACCCAGCTTGAACTTCCTGTGCAATGTCGAAACACTGACGTCTAAGGATTTGGCTAGTGACTTTAAGGTGGATCTTCTATTTAGTGGAATTGTGGCCATTTGAGAGAGATCAAGTTGAATTTTCTTGTGACCCACTTGACCTGTTCTTCTGTTAGAAACATCAACCTCTTGTCCTAGTGCAATCTGCTCACATGCATATTTCCAGATCCTTTGGATAACTCGAATATGAGCATGAAAGAAAGTAGCAACCTCCTTTGTTGCATTCTTTGGTAGTTTCCCATTTCTGCTCTTGGCATGCAAAGATGTGTACACATCGTATCTCTGAGCATCAGTTAACCATCTCCTTGACCTCATTTGTGGTACCACATCTGCAAGTGTAATAATAAAAGAAGAAAATTAGGTTGATTCATATTAATGGTTTTTTAATTCATGGCATTGAACAACTAAAAGATTATAAATCAACAACATGCCAACATGCTATTCAGAACTCACTTATGGATAAGCCAACATGCTATTTTTGTAAGAGCACAAGAAAAAGGACAACATGATGTTGTTATTTAGCCATGAGCATATTGGATTTGTATTTGTTGGCTAGATCAAAATTTCTAACTCATCAGTCACATTCCAGCATATTTTTAACTCATCAAGCCTGCTAACAGAGGAGCGAGGAAGAGGCATATGTAGAACTTATACCTGCAGCAACAGAGTCACCACCTTCATCTTCAGCTAGAGTGTTGGCATCCTCATGGGCTGCAGAATCGCTTTCTCCAGGTATGATTCTGATGTCTGAAAATTAGGTTGATTCAGATTAATGGTTTTTTTAATTCATGACATTGAACAACTAAAAGATTTAATCAAAAACATGTCAACAAACTATTCAAAACTCACTCATGGATAAGCCAACTTGCTATTTTTATAAGAGCACAAGAAAATGGACAACATGATGATGTTATTTAGCCACGAGCATATTGGATTTATATTTGTTGGCTAGATCAACATTTCTAACTCATCAGTCATATTCCAGCATATTTTTAACACATCAAGCCTTCCAACAGAGGGGCGAGGAAGAGACAGATGCAGAACTTATACCTGCAGCAACAGAGTCACTACATTGATCTTCAGCTAGAGTGTTGGCATCCTCGTGGGCTGCAGAATCGCCTTCTCCAGGTATGATTCTGCTGTCTGAAAATTAGGTTGATTCAGATTAATGTTTTTTTAATTCATGACATTGAAGAACTAAAAGATTTAATCAACAACATGCCAACATGCTATTCAGAACTCACTCATGGATAAGCCAACTTGCTATTTTTATAAGAGCACAAGAAAATGGACAACATGATGATGTTATTTAGCCACGAGCATATTGGATTTGTATTTGTTGGCTAGATCAACATTTCTAACTCATCAGTCACATTCCAACATATTTTTAACACATCAAGCATGCCAACAGAGGAGCGAGGAAGAGGCAGATGCAGAACTTATACCTGCAGCAACAGAGTCACCACCTTGATCTTGAGCTAGAGTGTTGGCATCCTCGTGGGCTGCAAAATTGCCTTCTCCAGGTATGATTCCAATGGCTGAGTCTTCTGGAGGTGTACAATTAAGGTCTAGCAAAACAGTTTCTGCCATCTGCGATGAATTGCAGATCAAACCACTCAATTTCACACCTGTTGATGTAGATGATGCAACATTTGATGAGTTGGCTTGGATGCAGAGAACTAGAGGGAGGTCAGCTGGACGGGGGTGATCAGGCTTGGGGAGCTCACCTGGTGATCACGTAGCTCTAATTCTACTACAAATCCAGTGAGGCTGGGTGGCCAGCGCTGGTGAGCTAGGCTCACCGGCGAGTGGTCAGACGTGAAGAAGTGGATCTCGCGCCGGCGCGATGGCTTCTTGGCACTGGCGGGAAGATGCTCTGAGAGAAATTTGAAATCGGAGGTTGCGTTTCTGAGAGAGAGATCGGAGGTTTCGTTTTAGAGAGAGAGAGAGAGAGAGAGAAATTTGAAATTGTTGATGTGCGTATGTGTAATTGCTTCGTGTACTTTATTTGAAATTGTCTTCATGTGCTAGCTGTCATCCTTAAGTTGCCTACATTAACTTTATTGGCAGAGGGGCAGAAGTGACTATCTACACCTTACCTTAATCTCTGCTAAAACCTCCAGAACGACTTACAAATTGGGACGGAGGGAGCCACGTAGCAATATATCAACTTTTTTTTGTTACGTAATATATCAACTTTTTCCTTCTTCTTTTTTTGTTTTTGTAACAAGGTACCCCACGATGTGTGAATGGGTTGAATGGCCGCGCCACTACCGCTAGTACCCGGGGATTAGGCATTGCAATGCAATGGAGCTAGCTTTGGCTGGT